GGTCTATTAAGAAAATCAAAATTACCTTGTGTCGAATATTGATCAAGTTTTTCGAATTGTTGAAGTAGATGTTCTAAATAAAATGAAATTTCTTTTGGATAAATTTCTTGATTGACTTCTTCAATTGAATCATCAAGAAATAGTCTTGTTCTGTTAAGTTGATAGGCAGTATAAATCATTAGACCAATAACAATTAAACCAATCAATAATAATAATATAACAGAGCAGCATCGTCTCGAACATTTTCGATTTTTCGCTCCTTTACGTCTCTTGAAGTAAAAGAAAAATTAAAAAGATATTGTCAACAATTAATGTTCGAGACAATATTAAATATTTACTTTAGTGAATTTTCCCTTGCAACAATTTCTACATGAAATAATACAAAATATCACTGAAAATAAAATAAATAGAGCCAAAGTCAAACTTGTAAAGATAATAGTCGATGTTATTGGTTTTAACTTGACAATCGCTGAAACATCCCACGATTTGATCTCGTCTGATGTGACTTGTTTTAAAAATGACCGAACATCAACTATAGAAAAAGTCGAGCGAGCTAATGATGATGAAATTAATTGAGAAATGGCTTTTCCATTCGGATTGTAATATGAATGGCTAAGGTTATTTGTGATATTATTGACTATTGGTATTGTTGGTAATGAAGAAGATATATTGAAACATGTTAATTCCAAAACCATTTAGAAATATTAATTGAATTTATAGTAAAATAACAATATAGATATTGAAAATTATTTGTCAAATAAAACAAAATAATCAATCGGAAAAAGAAACATTGTCATATCAATTATGAATATTTATATACAACAGAAATTCGATACGAATAGTCGTTGATTTATATTGATGTTTTTTTTTTCTCTTCAATGACATTTTTCAGAACACGAATGCTCGGAGTTTTTAATAGACAAGATTTTCTCCAGCAGAAAAAAGTTTAGCACATTATTTGGTATTTAGCTGATTTTTTTATTATATCTTATATCACAATATTAATTAATAATTAGTGGTTAATCAATGAAATTTTGATTTATTTTCAACTTCTATGTAAGATGCAGGCAATGCAAATTTTGAGTAAAAGCTTTTTGTCTCTTTTTTACATTATTTGAAAGAGTGTAATATCGTTTTTTTCAACATATACTTTATATTTTGCTTTATGTCTTTTGTGAGCTTCTTTTCATGATGGCGCTTCGAATCGTGCTGAGTGTGATACGTATAGGTGGATTTTATAAACCTATTCAGTTCTTTTGGTTAAGTGAGGAGAGCAAATATTTAATCTTATTCGATTTATCATACCATCAGTCACAAAATTACATATCCTTTTTTTCTCTTTTCTTTTCTCTG